GCCGCGGCGGGCGCGTCCACCCCCGCCGCCGGCCATGGCCGCGCCGCCGTCAGGCCGGCGCGCTCCTTCTGGAACGCCGCCGAGAGCGTCAATGGTCGCGCCGCCGCGCTCGGCTTCGTGCTTTGCTTCGCAAGGGAGGTGCTCGAGCCCGGACATCCGTCGCTTGTGGACCAGGTCGTCGATGTCGTCGTCCCTATCGCGCAGAAGACGCCCCCGTTTCTTGTCGCCGTCGTCGACCAGATCGTCGACTTGCTCACGTGATTACCGCGCGGAGGGCCAGGGGAGGGAAGGCCCGCGTTTGGGGACTATCGTAGTGTAGATGCGCGTCGTAGAGTAGTGCGCGTGGTACTTGTTCGTCCTATCCGCTCGCGTTGACGCCGGGGGGGGGGCGAGGGAGCCCGTCTCTTGCATGTCGACGCCGAGTGCCGTTTCGAGGGCCGAGGGTTTTGCCGAAACGCCTCCCGTGCTCGACTCAAGATCAGTCTCCATCCCAACAACATTCGGAATAAATTGTTCCAATTTCTCCCTCCCGTGCCTGCGCCGGCCGGCCAAACTTCCACTACCCCATCCCATTCCCTTACTCCCACCAACCCACCACCAAAAGTTTGGGAAAACCTAATCGCCCTTATCAGCACTTGCGAACAGCACCAGGCAGCTACTTCCCTCGCCAAGAAAGTGCTTGTCCTCATCAAGTCTGGAAAAGTTTTCAGTGGTGATTTTTCTAGTAGCGGAACGGAAGGCCCCGACGGTGTGGATCCCAAAGACCCTCACACCTGGTCTATGAACCACTTTGCGAACATGCTAGAATCAAAAACTTGTCCCTTGTCAAGAAAATCGCACGATGTGTTGACGGCCAAGGTTCTCATCCCGTTTCGAGGGCGCGATGAGGAGAGAGCTCTCTGCGCATGGTTATCTTCAGAGGGCAATCTGAAACAGTTGCAGGGCATTTGCGATACCATGCTTTCCCTGCCCCAGCTCACATTGAAGTCATTACACTCGGCCATCCGGTCTCAAATGAAAAATTATGACCGCATGCAGAGTCAGGGACAACTATCTGGTGCAGACGTGCTTCAGCTCCCTTTCCAAACAAGAAAACTTTTTAAAGCAGCAACGGCTTTGCAATCGGCGAACACAAATGTGGACTTGTGGCTTGATTATCTGGATTTCGAAAGGCGCATTGCACGCGAATCAAAGCTGGCAACAAAAGTCAACCGGCAGGCATTGAAGACTTTAGACGCAAAGCGAGGAGAGCTCTTTACAGAGAGACAAATTCTCCGCAACCTTGCATGAAGAACAGCGTGCTGCTCTGGAGCGTGTTGGGAAAACGCTTGGGACGCACCATACTCGCACTGATAGATGTCAGACCTCTCAATGACTGATTCTAACACGGGCCGTTTTATCCATCGGACTGAAACACATTCAATGCAATACAACATTACGCTCCACTGTTCTACTGCGTACTACCAACTCGCATCTCTAAATTCCGAGCATTGTGGCGAGCCTTTTTTTGCCACAGAGCTGTCTCAGAAGCAGCGCATGTTTTGCCAGGTGAAGCCCACGATAGTATGGGTGTGGGGGGGGGTAGGCGGGCAAGTTGATTTACCGCACAGCATCTTCAACAGTGCTATCGCCCTCTTCGACGAGTTCGGCGCGCTCTTCTCTAGTCCATTCATCTTTGGTGCCGATGGAGACTTTTGAAGCACTGAAAAGGCGCTGTTGGCATATGACGGCAATGGCCATCATGACGGCACACAGGCAGAAGACCGTGGTATTCTCATAGTTTTTGTACAGAATGAGGCAGACTATGAGATTCAAAGGAAGACGAAAGTAGTTCAGAATGGCGGATCGGGTGACCTCGGGAACATACTT